CACACAGGCCCCCAAACAGGGAACAGGGGAAAAAAAGGGGGAAAAAGGGGAAAAAATTTTTTCTTTTTCCCTTTTTTTTGCTTGCCCCCGCCCTTGGAAACAATCTCTGGGGGAAAATTGTGGGGGAAAAAAAGCCTAAAGCTTTGCCTGAAAATTCTTTTGTTAATATGATTATTGAGAATGAACACCCAAATTTTTGGATTGAAGTTTTTTTTGGAAAGAAATGCGTAAGGCATGATATCCTCATCTCCCTCCCTCTCTCTGGTGTGCAGGAAGACATAGCAGACCTGGAGAAGAGGAGTCAAAAGAGGGATACCAGGGAGATCGCTCTTGTCATTCTGATTCGGACACTCACCAACCTCTCCGTCTTGCTCATCCTCATTGGAGCCGGTGTCGCCATTTTCATGGCCGCCCAACTTGGTCTCGACAGTGTGAGTCTCTTGTAGTAGGCACAACTGGAGTGAAATGAGGCGGAAATCCATCCTATAATTCAGACCATTTTTGCTCCCATATTTTCCTCTCGTGACAGCAATAGATTCTCTAGCGTAAAGTCTTCTCTAGTCTTGTACCAAGAGTTAAGTCCCCCCTACCTTTCCTTCCCTCCACTTTGAAAAATGCTCCATGTTTTTTTTCCAGCAACTGTCAGGAGAGAGTCTGCAACTGGAGGGTTTTGTTCTGCCAATTGTCTTCACGGCTTTCAACATCTCCCTCCCCATCCTCTTTTCCTTCCTGGCCAGGTCAGAGTCCTCCACTGCCACAGTGACTAGGATTGTGTTCACCAGCCAGAATGGTTTGACCTTGTATTTATACTGTGGAGCAGCAAATCTACTAGGGTGATAGTTTCAGAGCCAACTGAAGTAAAATTTGTGAACAGGACAATTATTTTGTATACGAAATTATCAAATCTTACTCTCTTGATAATTTTGTGGTTAAGGCACACTTTCTGACTGAGTGAATGCTGGTTTGATTACCACACGTCATTGTGACTGACTGTGACTGCCAGGTTTGAGAGGTTCAAGACACAGAGTGGGGAGATCAGGATGACTCTAATTAGAGCCATCATTGTCCGCCTGTCTTCCCTCATCGTCCTCTTCGTCACTCTCTTCATCCTCATCTCTGTGAGTCCCATGACGTCATCACTACTCACTCCAATACTTTGGTTATGGTGCCTATGATGTAATCCCTCTCAGTGTACCCAATCATTTGGAGGGGGTGGAGGGAGGGAAGAAGAAGAGGAGGTGGTAGAAGAGGAAGGAACTTGTCAGTTCAGTGTCCCGGACATCGACATTGGGCCCCAGAATGGAACCTCGCAGGCCAGAGAGAACTGTCCACAGGTACATTGACTTGCTCCAAGGCCTTGTCTGATTCATATGAGTCAGCGGCTAGCTCTCCCTCCTCTTCTCATAGTGCTGGGAGACATTTGTTGGCCAGGAGTTGTACAAGTTAGGTCTGGTGAACTTTGCACTCTCTCCATCACTACTCTTACCGTGGAAACAGCTAGAAAGTCAGTCAGTCGGTCCTTACGTCTGCTGTGGTAGTGCATTCACCCAAACACTCAGTATTTGCCACCCTCTACTGTAAACCATACGGCATGAGGGAGGTCTATTTTGTAGAACGGTGTATACTATAAGCCAGTGGTTGTCGTGACAGCGATCTCTCGTGCTGTCTAGTGTGATGAGTAGGCTGCCGTACAAGGTGTTCAGTCAGCGAGTGGGGAAAGGCAACTTCAACATTGCCAAGAGCATCCTGGATCTCATCTACACCCAGGCCCTCCTCTGGTGAGCTGCCTTCTCCACTACACACCACAGGCTCTCTTCAGTTCTTCTTGCTGCATTTTAATAGACATTGGACGAACGCTTTTTGTTTAAATTTTGGTGCAATTTTTTTCTGGATTCATAATTTTGTTTGTCTCTGTGGCAGGCTTGGATTTTTCTACTCTCCGTTCCTCCCTTTTGTCATCCTAGTCACCTCCTTCATGCTCTTCTACGTGAAGAAGGTGAGAAGCCACACCCACAGCCAAGCCCCGCCCACCTTGTAGTGCAGTGAAGGGGGTATCGTATTGTATCTAGGTGGGTGGATCCCCCCTTCCAGTTGTAATGGTGTACCTGAAACCTGATTACAGGGAGGTAAAGCCCGCCTGTCTAGACAGAAATGACAACAAATATACATGATATTTACATGATAAGGTGATGGTAACAAGATGATGTAATCTGATATCTCTGTCACTGCAGTATAGCCTCATGTGGAACCTAGCACCCAACACTAGAGGAGCATTCAAAGCCACCCGGACCAATTTCCTGTTCCTGTTCCTCCTCCTTGCAGTCCTCCTTGCCTCCCTCGTCCCCACCGGATACACCGTGGCTCGTCTCCACCCTTCCCAGACCTGTGGACCATTCCGGTGAGCTCCACATGTAGTTACTGTGTGACTTGATGTTGGAGAGAGACAGTTTTCACTCCGCCACATTTCACAGGTGGGGGTTGGGAAAACCAGTCCATAATCTATGCCTGCATAGTGCAGTGTGTGTATATAGAGGAGTTCAAGTGACGTCACATTACGTCACTAGAACAGCTCTACATTATCGTCCCCCCATCTCTTCTCTCCAGAGGAAAAGAGTTGATCTACGACGTGGTGACAGAGGTTCTTGAGGGAGCAGACTGCAGAGTGCAGCAGGTCTTTGACTACTTCCAGAGTACCAGTTTTCTTCTCCCAGTCATCATGATACTCCTGTGAGTCTGAGTGGAACTCTCCCTGCAAATTGTGACAGTGGCCGTTAACTTTGGAGCATCCATAGTAGTATTCAGACCATAAAGTTTGAATATTGTCACAACTCCTTCGTAACCCTCTGTTCTATACCGTACACCTCTCCCCATATCAATTCTCTCCTCACACTAGATTGGTGAGCTATGCCCAGTGGGTTGTCATTAGGGCTAGGAAACGCGGCTTCCTTCTCCTCAAGAAACAACTGCTGCTCGTGAGCCTTACATCATTGTGATGTCGTCACGTGTGCTAATTATAGCAACGCCTCACAGGAAGCAGCTGATTCAACGTTTTATGGACAGCAGCTGCAGAAGAAGACCAAGGAAGAAGAGGCTGTGGACACCACAGACGGAGGAGAGGGTGTGGCTTCTGGAGGAGGAGGAGGCGTGGCTTCTTTGCAGCAGAGGTTGTCGGCTCTCCAGGACATGTCAGAGGAAGAAAGGGGCGTGGCACTCCGAGACAAGCGGCTCAGTACCTTAGTCTCTCTCCCCTCCCATCGCCTTTCTCTCCAGACCTCCGCTATTTGATTACATCATTATGATGTCACCTCATCCAATTTTGGATCAACGTACACAAAATCAACCAAATGACTTTTTAAACTCATGTCTTTAGTAGAATGCTGAATGCTGATAATTTTTACTGCATATACACACAAATGATTTGTGATTTTAAAAAAATTATAAAGGCATATAATATTTTAAAGTGAAGAGAAACACGAATATAATGAGAAGGATAATGATTATAGACAGACATGGAGACAGACGGATGTGATGGTCACACACATGGAGACAGACGGATATGATGGTGGGACGCTGCTATGTACTGAGAGGACGGACAGTCGGCTCCACCTCATGAGACAGCTGAGTTAACGTCTGTTGGTTATCCACCACTCTGATATCCCTGAGATGAGAGGCCCAGCAGTGATGAGATAAGGTGGGGGTAAGGGAACTCACCTGATGTACTTCTGGAGTTCAGGGTTCTTGTTGGCAAGGAGACAGACATCGTTAGGGAGACTGCCAGTCCTGAACTCAAACAGCGACCTCACCTTCTCAGCCAGCAGTCTCTGCGGTGGTGAGGGAGAGAGGATGGAGAGATGGTGGAGGGATCCATCTTCCTCACTCACCATCTTTTCAAAGTTGACCAGCCCCTCAATCATAGTCTCGTTCCCTTCATGGAGAAACGCCATGTCTGCAAGAGATACCAAAATTTCAATTGATGAAGTTTCCACATCAGAGAGAGGAGAGAGGGAACAGGAGATTTGAGGCTCACCTTTCATGACGAGAGGCATGAAGGGGACCACAGGGCGTGGCAATTTGCTCTGGTATGCTCTGAGTACCTTCTGGTTCCGTGACGGGTCAGTGATCGCGTCGAACGAGTCGAACCTCCTCTTCATCTTGGGAGCCAGCTCCTGTGGGGACGAGGGAGACATGAGTATTGTGTGGAGGAATTGTAGTTGTCTTTACCTTCCACGTCAGTTTCATCCTCGACACTGCAGGGTTGGACAGAGCCAGAACAATGGCCAGGAATGAGTTCACGTTACTGTGCCCCTTGCAGCTGCCACACGCAAAACATCCATAATACCATTGATCACACAACAGAGCTAGTTTTGCAAGTTTGATACTAATGTAGAGTGAAGAGTGAGCGTTTCAGAAAACGGACTCTGTTTTCATCGCGGCTACTTACTATCCCGCAAGTTGATACTAATGTAGAGTGAATGTGGCTACTTACTATCCCGCAAGTTGATACTAATGTAGAGTGAATGCGGCTACTTACTATCCCGCAAGTTTGATACTAATGTAGAGTGAATGCGGCTACTTACTATCCCGCAAGTTTGATACTAATGTAGAGTGAATGCGGCTACTTACTATCCCGCAAGTTTGATACTAATGTAGAGTGAATGCGGCTACTTACTATCCCGCAATTTTGATACTAATGTAGAGTGAATGCGGCTACTTACTATCCCGCAATTTTGATACTAATGTAGAGTGAATGCGGCTACTTACTATCCCGCATGTAGAGTGAATGCGGCTACTTACTATCCGCATGTAGGTGATGAGCTACTACATCCCGCTGTAGAGTGAATGCGGCTACTTACTATCCCGCATGTAGAGTGAATGCACTACTACTACCCGCATGTAGAGTGAATGCAGCTACTTACTATCCCGCATGTAGAGTGAATGCAGCTACTTACTATCCCGCATGTAGAGTGAATGCAGCTACTTACTATCCCGCATGTAGAGTGAATGCAGCTACTTACTATCCCGCAAGTTTGATACTATGTAGAGTGAATGCGGCTACTTACTATCCCGCAATTTTGATGAACTTCTTTAACAGTGCAACACGCCTAGTGAGGTCAGGCTCCATACACATCGTCGTGACAATCCAAAACTTCACCTGCGGGGGTTAGAGTTCAAAATGGGTGTGGTCTGTCGACAGCTGGCAACTTACCTCTATGAACCTCCGCAGCAAGAGGTCAAGGTTCGTGACAATCTTCCCGAACTTGTGTCGTCCGAAGACGTTGTAGACGACCTCCATCTGCTGTGTGTTTGAGAAGAGGTTCCAGTCGAAGAGGGTGAGGTGGGCTGCAATCTCGCGTGCCGAGTCCTCCGGGAACGGAATGACTGGCTTCACGTTCTGGTCTTGCAGCGGCGACTGCACAAACAACAACAACAGTAGCTTCCAGAGTCTTTACAATACCTTTATGATCACAAACCATTTTATCATTTTGAAACTACACTATCACAAAAGATGCTAACTACATCCTCACATACTAGTATGCTCAATATGAACTACCTGGCACTTAGATCCTTTAACACATGAAATACAAAACTGTACACATTTAACGAACTATCAACTAAATTTCTATTAACTATGTTTGCCAGAGGCTTACCACAGTTCTCTGGGAGTGGCTGCGAGGCAGAATAAAGAGACGTCCGTTGACACTAGTCTCACTCATGACCGAAATATCGTCTTCTTTCAGAACTTTCTTCTGGCCGGACGAGGTCACCTCACACAGCTGATACTTGAACTTTGGTAGGTGGAGTTTGGAGCAGGCCTCATCCCTGATGGCTCCGGCCTTGGTATCCAGTCTCACCTGGTGGCACCGCCAGAGTTGGGGAGAGAGAGAGAGGACACTAAAGTATTAGCATGGGGTTGAAACAAGTGGCCCTTGTAGAGAGGTTGACCCTATCTCAGAGGGTCCCTTATCGGAGGTTCAATACAGAGAGAAGAGAGAGAGGGGGAGAGAGGAGAGAGGAGAGAGAGGGGGAGAGAGGAGAGCGGAGAGAGGGGGAGAGAGGAGAGAGAGGGTACCACGAGGCGACAGCAGATGTGCTCTTCTGTGTGAACTCTGACCCCCTCCATGTCCTGCGGCTGGGCGGGAGGAACACTGCAGATTCCCAGTGTTATTCTAGGCTCCTCCAGACCTCCTCCTCGGCCTCTCCCCTGAACCACGGGAGACACTCTTATCCACAGAGCATTCATCGCAGAACAGAGCATCACACACACACAGACTGAGACCAACTAAAGAAATCCTCGCTACACATAGACGTACGTGCGGGCAAAGAACAAAATCTAGCACGACAATCAAGTGCCACTAAAGAGCATAACTTAAACAAAAGAAGTATTACGTAACCCACCTTGCTGAGGATGTGGTTCAGACTGCCAGAGAGCACGGGGCTGTGAGTGTGTTTCCCGAGAATAGCGGAGCGAATACTCTCAGACAGAGAGGTGTTGAGTACCTCCAGTTCCTCCGTTAGGCCGTCTGCCTCCAGCCCGTCCTGCAGCTCCTTCAGCAGGCCCAGGAACACTGCAGGGGGTGTGTGGTCCAATTAGTCAGTGACATGGTAAAGTGGGTGTGGTTAACAAACCTGCGTCCTTGACAAGTTGAGACTTGGCCACGTTGATCCAGACAGCGACGGCCCTAGCGATCCTCTTCTTCCTCGTAGTGGTCACCACCTGTGGCTAATGATATTCACGACACTCCCGGGAACCAACTCTGGTATTCACCTCCCCTTCGCTTTCCTTCTCCTCTTCCTTCTTCTCCCTGTACCTGGTGAGGAGCCCCGAGCAGACGTCAGCCATGGACATGAATGCCACGTGGGTGAGGAAGAAGTCGTGGGCAAAACTGCCTTCTTGCGATGTGTCGACCTCTGACCCCACAAGGTGGTCCAACATTCTCTCAGGGGTCCCTCGGATCACGGTGTAGCTGTGAGGGCCAGGAACAGGGCAGACTAACACTTCTGTTAATCCACAAATGTAAGTGGATTCTTATATTATGTGAGTCAATGTAGAGAAATACCAAACTACTGTCTTGTACGTAATCCGGGGTAGTCCTAGTTCATTGTGTTTTTACTTTATGTATGATACATATGTTGTAGGTACAAATAATGTGAACCACTGAAAGAAGAAAGAAGAAGAACTAACCTGCCGACGGTCTCTCTCTGTAGATGCATGACCTCTCGACCTCTGTGGGTAATCTTGAGGGTGGAGTCTTCCACTGACATGAGGATCCGTCTGAAGTCGTTGCTCTCAATCTGGAGGAAGTACGAGTTGGGTTCCCGAGTCCGAATGGAGGCACTCCGCTCCCCGGCTGTCAGGAGAGACAGCTTTCCAAAGTCGTCTCCCTCGTGGAGCGTACACACCACACCTTTCCCCTGGGAGGGAAGGGGTTAATACTATATTAAACATCATTACATGTCTATGCATCAGCTGCATATGATATATGAGCAATTAATGGTGTACCTTGATGATGACGTTGACTGATCCTTTCAGGACAACGTACCATGAATCTCCTTTTTCTCCTTGATGGAACACTGGGTGGAGAAAGAGAGAGAGGAGAGAGGGGGAGAAAGAGAGAGAGGGGAGGGAGAGAGAGGGGAGGGAGGAGGTGGTAAAATACACAGACACCAACAGTGGCTGGTGAATAATGACGTACAGTACTGGCCAGGTCTTGGATGATGCTGCAGTCTCACGCACGCAGCCACTTCTCTCTTGACGGCATTAGTGAGGTGACGGAGAGCGCGCACATTCAGCAGTTCCTCGTAAATCATGTTCTTGTCCTCCTCCGTTCTCTCACAGGGCCTGCACACACACCGAGGGAGGGAGGAGAACCTCTGATCAAGGAAACTCGGACACAGCAGTAAATAACACACTAAGGTTCTCCTATTTCTTATTCTTGTAAATATTCAACCTACAAAGAGAGGACAGCCTCTCTACAAATGCCTGGTCCATATGTGTTCATTATTCAGAGGTTCCACTGAACTGGGAGAGACGGACTCACTCCTTGGCGAGGGTGGCAAGGATGAGGACCTCTGGACTCAGTCTGGAGATGGTGTCGAAACACTCCTCCAGCACCGAGTGAATGGAGCCACGCGAACTTCGAGACTCCGCCCCCACCGAACTCGCTGATCTATTATTAGCAACACAATGATGTAATCACGAGGTAATTATCAGATGTTCGAACCTCGGTCGTCCGTTGACGATAGCGTCTTCCCCGGAATTAGGTCGTCTCCTAGGGGTCGGCGAGGGGGCAGGGGAGGCAGAGGGGGTCGAATTTCTGCTGAATGAGAAGAGGTTCATGAGTTGCTGGAGACGACCCCCAACGAGGGGGGCACTGCGCTCCGAGGAGGACGAGGAGGAGGAGGAGGAGTTGAGATCACAGAACTTGTAGAACAACTGAGGATCATCCAGGAATGGGTGAACCTTGTGACCTGTGGGGGCGGGGGGAGAACTCCTCTTATCCACCATCGTTTACTCTCTGCCTATACTCTACAGAATCATTGAGTGAAGAAAACCTTATTTGTTGGTAAATTTGACCGTGTGAAAACGACATCTGAGGAGTTTGTTGGGGAAATAAATTTGTTAAATTCTGACAACTGATATGAGAAAGTGTTCTCCAATAATTTGTAGAGCAATATACTTCCCATCTCGCTCTACGCTCTATCTCGCTGCACCCAACATGCATGCTGTGTACACCACGCCCACATACTGTGCTGCAGAACTGTCTCCAGGAGGAGGGCCTGCCACATCTGAGCCACCTGCTGACGGGTACGAGGGATGGCAGATTGCGCAATAACCCAGTCGACCAGTCCAGAGCCACTGCAACACGACTTGTAGGTGTACATGTTAACCCTGTGATCACTGCAGGGGGTGGTAGGAAATCAGTGTTCAGGGGGTTAATTAATGAACTCACGCTAAGAGATTGGGATAGTGAGAGGTGATGATCTCATGGACAGTTGCTCCAGCCAGGGCCAGTTCCGACTGAGGGAAAGCCCCTCCCTCCTCCCCATCTGCCTCTTCAGTTCCTACTGCTGCTGGAGATAACAATACATGGAGCAAGACACAGTGATGCACTCGGACGTTGAATGGTCTATTTGTGTGGAAATGACTAAAGTCAGCACAAGGTGTAAACTTGGTTTGCAAGAAACAATTTCAGGTAGAACCAGCATTGTCAGTCAGTACCTGCACGAGGATGCAGCAAGTTCTCCATCACATCTTTGTGTGTCTGTAGTGGGAGAGAGGAATGAGGCAACAGGCAACAAACGAGAGATCGGACCTCATAAATCCGTCGAATGTTGTCAGCCTCCACATAGAGCAGTTCACAGTAAGTCTTGGTGACCACCATCGTCTCTCTGATGGAGAGAGGAGAGAGAGGGAGAGATGGAGAGATGGAGAGAGGAGATGGAGAGAGGAGATGGAGAGAGGAGAGAGGAGAGAGATGGAGAGAGAGGATGAGATGGAGAGAGGAGAGAGGAGATGGAGAGAGGAGAGAGAGGATGAGATGGAGAGAGGAGAGATGGGAGAGATGGAGAGAGGAGAGAGATGAGAGAGATGGAGAAGGGGAGAGATATGCTCACCTGGTGGCCTCCAGGACGACATTCTCTCCAAATGAATCTCCACTTTGCAGCTGACATATGAGAGTCGTCTACAGACAGAGAGTCAGAGGGATTACATCATCCCTACTTTCTACAATCCGAATGAGCATTCCCTAACTACACACGTTGGCTTCTTGCCATTCCAGCTACCTTCTCTACATAGAATGCCATGTTTTCCTCATACTTCAGTGCTTCCCTTCCATTTTCTCTCTCTCTCTCTCTCTCTCTACCTTCTTGTCATGGCGAGAGTCCACATTGAACATCTCCAGAGTACCAGAGACCACCACATACCAATACATCCCATTCTCTCCTGGACGAAACACTGCAGGCATGGGGGAATAAGGGAATGCCAGTATCACGGAATGGAAACATAGAGGAATGGAAACATGGGGTGTGGCAGACACATTGGGTATAACTACTATGGTGAGCAATAAATGGGGAAACGGAATTATTATGGCAAAGGGCTCAATGAGTTTTAAACCACACTATTCATCCACCATTCATCTGCTCAGGGCCCTACCCTCCTACAATAGCAGCGTACACTACCACTTATCACAGACAGTCCACTGGCTGTGAATGGGTCTACGTCACAGGGCTAACAGGTAGCCAAGTGTGGGAGAGAGGATGCAGGCAGGGAGCGGAGGTAAGAGGGAGGAGGGAGAGTGAAAACATACCAGGGGGGTTGTCCAGGTAGACGATTGGCACTGTTTACTCACAGACAAGAGATATCACAACGTTGGGGGGGCAGATCCGTGTCAAGCAAGGCAACCATGTAAATTAACCATTAGGAATGCTGTCACCTGAGACCTGTGCCACGGCTGCAAGTTCCAAAACAAGAGATGGCCAGTGGTAGAGAATGGGCAGTCCTCCTAACATGGAGCCCCACTCTACGCCTTGTTAACCAGCTATGAACACGACACTACACACCCAGTATCACACCTTACTGAGACCAATGAAATTTGACGTTCCATAAAAGTACGGTACAAAATGTCGTGGTTGAGAACCCATTCTACAGAATTCTGTGAAAAGATAGTTTACCAATTGTCCAAAATGTGACCATTCTATGCTGATAATCTACCTACATATCTATACAATGATAATCTACATATCTACTACATATCTAATACACTGTCAGTATAGAGCATGGAGAGAGGTAACAGACAGGCCAATTAGCAGTTGACTACAGAAAAGTTGAGTTGATTATGACGTGAGGAAAAGGCAGCGAGCCAAGCAACCTCTCTGGTCAGCAAATCTAACGATATTAACTGACCGAATTAGCAGTGAATTAGCAGTGATAACAACAATAGTTAGTGAGAGCCAAGCCAGACGATAGTGAGTCTTGTTTGCTCGTTACCTCCCTCCACACCCCTCACAGCACACACCCCTCACAGCACACACCTTCCCTACAAGCACTAGGTCATCCCTGTCTTGTCTCCTTGCTTTGTCTATTAATGTTCTTACACTGGGACTGCAGAGTGCAGAGTGATCTAGAAAGATAGCTCAGCTACATCTCTACAAGACCAGCAGCTGCATAGAGCAGCCTTCTAATAGAGTGTAGCTAGCACAGCACCAGATGTAGATGCAAGAGAAGGAGAGAGAGAGAGAGAAACTCACAGGTTGTATTGGCAAGATGTGTATCGTAGAGGACCACTCGACTCAGCTCGTGCAGTGCTGACTCAGGATATCTCTCAAACACCACCATTGACTGAGATAGAGAGACAGAGACTTGCTGGCTAGGTTCCCAGGACCTCTTACCTTCATCCTAGACATTATGATGTCCAGATCAGTCTCAGATCGTCTGCTGGGCCTGGCAAAGACCAACCACGTACACTCTCTTACACCAGCAGCTTAGCTAGCTGGCTTACCTCTTGCCCAGACACGAGACCCAGTGCCACGCGCCGTCCATTTCTCTGGTTCCCTTGCTGAACACGGTTCACCTCCTGCGCTCCCTGGCCTTTGCTTCGTGTTCTAAAACCCCAACTGAACAGTAAACCTCGCTGTTTTGCTCGAGCATGCAGCAGTCACCGCCCACTTTATTGATTGCAATAATGGCAGGAATTCAACAACACATAATTACAGTAATTAATGTGACGTCATTTCCTGTAAAGCCAACTCATTTTGTTGGTATAGTTGTCTATATTGGGAGGCTAGGTAGAGGAAGGGCTTGTCCACACATCTGTGATCACGCTGCAGAACGAAGGAGAGAAGGATAAATGTCAAAAGTGTTGAAAAGTTCCCTTACGGCTGAGGTCTCAAAGTAGACGAGGTCTTTACTTGCAGCCAGCTCTCTCCCTCTCTCCTCACTCACCTCCCTCCTGGCTTCCAGGTCACACTTGCAGGCCACCAGCACCCCTGGGGCGAGGAGATTGGAGAAACGCATCATCTTCCTTCTCTGAAGTGTGAGTGTGAGGTTTATACCTGGCAGTTGGGCCTCCACTGCAGGTTTCTGGGCCCGGACCCTCTCCAGCCACTTGACACAGCTGTCAAACGATTCCTCCTGACTTACATCATACGCCACCATCACTAGACCTGGGTTCTCCCACTAAAGAGAGCACACACGCCCGAGAGATAGACAAAATGTTGGAAGAAAGAATGACTCACATATTCAGGGACAAAGTCAGCAAACACCTCTTTGCCTGCAGTGTCATAGATATATAGTTCCTGCCACCCAACAACACACACACACAGAGAGAGACGAGGTACAAATTGTCAGATGTTGCAGCTCCATTCACTCACGACTGTAGTCTGTGTGTCAGGGATGTGGACAGCTTTCACCAGTATGTCAACCCCCATTGTCTGTGAGAGGAAGCTAGAGGTGCTAGCTGGCCGGGGGTGGCAGGGAACCTACCATGGAATAGTTCTTGGGGAACTTGGTCCCGTCGCTCACAAAGTTCTGGACGAGAGCCGTCTTTCCCACGACTGCATCGCCTGCAAACAGACGTAGCTATTCAAAAACCAGTTCAAGTGCGAAACTCTCTTACCGACGACCACGCACTTGGCTCTCAGCACCAGCGGCGCCATTTGTATCCCTCGCTACTTCTCCGGATCTCTAGCTCCCAGCATGAAAAACCCGCGGGCGTTTACCGAGTACCCTATCGTCATGGAAACCAGCGCGTGCATGAGTATAAAGGTTAATTACAGAGCACAGTCAAGCACACACACTAACAGTAATATTGATGATGGTGGTGCGGTGGTATACTCAGTCCACAAAGTGTACAATTCTGTGTGAGCGTCTGGGGATGACGAGGCTCTCTGAATTCTCACGGTCACCTCGTGCGGGGTCCCACGGAACTCATAGCGAACCCTCAGATACTTGCTCTCCCCGATGCAGGGGTCGTAGAACCCCGGGATTATGGCCTTATTCTCCTCTCGCAGAATGAGCTTCGAGTCAACCACCAGGCACTGGAGAGGCACGTGGACGTCGATGACTTTAGGGAGACTCAGTCCGTCGCTGGCTGGGTCCAGATCAAACAGCTTCCCATACCATGCCTCCACTATGATGAGCCCCTGTCTGGCTCGCTCTGTCACCAGGACCCTCTCAACTGTCTCTGTCATTAGCTCTATCGCTGCCTCCGCCTCTTTCTTCCTCTCCAGCATCTCTCTCGCTTTCTCTGCCCGACGCTCTGCAACTTCGCTCTGTCTCTGCCGGCGCAGGAGGGGAGCAATTGCGAGGACTTTGAACCCTCCGAACAGGAAGAGGGGGACTGTTGTGGCATAGAATACAGCTCCAATGGAAGGTGTTTTGGAGACGGTAACACTGGTGGTGAATGTCATTCCAGCTCTCACCAGTCGCAGTGTTAGCTGAACTCCCTCGCTGCCCACCGACACCCTCCCTCCCAACCTTGTCAACTTTGTTATTTCATTCTCGACTCCGTAGAACATGGCCACACCCCCCGTCCCGATCCTCACTCCACTCTGGTAGAGATAAGCTCCGTCTGGGTTATAGTGGACCCTCCCCTCCACCCGAGAGGCGTCAAACCCCACCTCCGTCTCCCCCACCACGTTCACAGTCTGAGACAACTGGTGAGCCATTTTTGCCGACACTGCGTTCCCAGTATCTTTGACAGTGAGAGATGCAGAGGTGGTGTTGGTCAGTCGTCGCGTGGCTGAGCCCGTCATGTTCAGTAGGGGCCCCAGGGGTGTCAGAGAACACTGAGTGTTGCTGGTGAGGTACATGGAGTCACTGATGTTGTGGTATGTCTCCAGAGCCAGGGCTGGGAGACTGCCCAGGAGAGTTGTAACCTTGACCCAGTTCTGTGACGAGAGGATGTAGCGAAGGGACACCTGGAGACCTCCCAGCAGGTACTTGGGGCCTGCCACCACTGTTCCACCCACGGTGGAGAAGGCAGAGCGAGTGATCTGTGCATCAACAGACTGCGAGGCTGACATCTTGCTGACAAACACCAGTGGCTGATGAGGAGAGCTCGCTCCATCCAGTAGGCGACTGGCGTCAATCTTCATGGAGAAACTGCCCTGTGGGTTGGCCTCCTGGACGTACGTCCGCTCCTCCCACAGCTTCTTGAGTTTCTCGTACTCCTCCAGGAGCTCTGTGGGCAGTGTCGTCCGCTCGATGAGCGCCATGTCCGCCTCCACGCCTTTCTTCCCGCTCCTGTCGTAGATGGCCCTCTTCCGAGGGTCGCTGAGGACGCGGTACGCCTCCTGAATCCGGTGGAAGAACACGCTCGCCGTCTGCTGCTTCCTGGGATCCTGGTGCCTGGTTTTCAAAAGAGGGAGAGGGTCGACGAGGAAGAAAATAGGAGAGAAAGCCTACCTATCTGGGTGATAGATACGACAGAGACGGCGGTACGCCGAGCGGATCTCCTCGGGCGTGGCCCGCACGTCCACGTTGAGGAGAGTGTAGAACTCATTCTCGTCCTCTTTCTCCAACTCTGCTAGCTCTCGCTCCAGCTCTGCGTCCTCGTAAGCCGTCGACATGTTGGCATGGGTGGGCTCCAATTAGAAAGTTGCGCACTAAATAGAAATCGCCGACAAACTACTCTCCTCATTTTCATGCATTCTCAATTTCGCTAAAGCTGCCAATTCATAGTCTTTACTTGTGCATCCAGTAAAATATATCCCTCTGCTGGAATGATCTATGAAAGAAATTTTGTCCTTCGATGTGTTGCTATGGACGGTTTGTTTGGTCGTCAGGTGCTGCTTATTTAGAAAACATGTCGGGTCTGAGAAAGCAGTGGGGGATGCAGGGAGAGCAGGGCTACCGTCCCTTCAATCCCACACCTGTGAAGGTATAGTAGTTGATTCTTTCCTATCAACCTACTTACACTTGCCCTGCAGGCTAGGCCAAGAAATGGAGCTGCTGAGGACCACAGCTACCACCTGCTGATGCTGCAGGAGAGAAACAGGTGAGACTCGCCCGAGAGGAGAGAGAGAGAGGAGAGAGGGGTGTTGCTAATGGCCACAGACTGCTGAAGAGGCTGAGCCAGAAGGGGCAGAGGGAGGTGGAGATGGAGAGGAAGGAGCAAGGCTTCTCTCTCTACCTGAATGGAGCCAACACTGCTCCTCATCATCATCATCATCGGAGTCAGCCCCGATCCTCTGCCATGACAGACGACCAACAACACCCTTCACCCCAGTCTCAGAGCAGACCTTCACGGACTGCTGGTAAACCATATGTCCACATGCACTCATCCAAGTAATCCTCAAGTTAATGCTGCAAAGAAGGTTTTTCAAAGTGCTCATAGACACTTTTACTTGATTGACTCAGCCACTATATTTTCTGCACGCAAACATTAGACTACATTCAGCTATTGTTAGGCATTATTCTGGTGCCAACATTACTTTACTGCAGGTGGGGTGGAGAAAGAGTCACCTGATCAGTAAGCTAAACCATGTGAGAGTCACATGATCAAAAGGGGTGTGTCCCTGTACCCAGAGAGGGGAGGTCGAGAACAGCTCCGTCCAGGAAGAGTTGGAGCCACGAGACAGTGGTACTCAGAACAGAGGACGGCCAGACTCTCCCCGTCTCCGCTCCAGGTCAGACACCGTCCCCATTCCATTCCACCAGTGTGTTACAGAGTCCTGAATACCGTAGGTATTGTCAGCGGTTGCTATGACGATGACTTTGAGTCGAGTGCTGCGGAGATGTCAGAGGAAGAGAGTGTTACAGAGATGGAGAGTGGGGGAAGAGAGGGGGGGAGAAAGAGAGAGCAGCGAGGCTCACAGCACGGAGGACGAAGAACTGACAGAGAGTTTGCAGGAGCTGAGTCAGCAGGTCTCTAGTCTGGAGAACACCCTCACCACCAGTGGCAGTCATCAGGTACATATCCTGCAGCCAGGTCTTGCCAATTGTGTGAATATTCTCTCCAGTGTAGTTCTGGCCCACCATCTGTGTGATGATGTGTTCTCTCCTCTCTCTGTGGTGTGTGTGTGTATGTGTAGGACTCACTAGTGGAGGGGAGACAGATCTCTGCGGAGACTGAGTCACTAGTGGAGGGGAGACAGAGCTCTGCGGAGACTGAGCGTCAAGAGACAGCATTGAGGAAGAGGACAGAAGCAGTGTGGCAGAAGCAGGGAAAGAAGTGGAAGATGGAGATGGAGTTATTACAGAACAACAACAAGAAGAGCAGTTCACCTCAGTCTCCCAGTCTGCAGCTACTGCCACATCAACACTGGTAGATATCACTGAGAGAGTGAGGAAATTGGACGCAAGGTTAGGGCAGGCTTCTGTGTGGCAGTGACCCACTGTGTGATGATATCTACCTCACACAGTGAACAGAGGCAGCTGCTGGAGATACTCGACACACTCAGCTCTGAGACCACACCCACTGCCACGCCCACCTCCACCCCACACTGGCTCCAGCCTCAATCAAAACTTCCTGAATATCCTCATTTTCTTCCTCCTCTTCTGCCTCCCAATAAGAGACCCAGTCAGTACACGATCCACAGGCCTGCGAGGGGAGATTGCCACGAGAACCCTCGTTTCTGAGACTAACGAGTCAAGCCTGTTGAGAGACCAGTCCACTGGTGGAATGGGGGATTCTCGTGCTAGTAATCGACTGTACCGGTCTGGCAGTGGTCGAACTAGTGGTATTCGTGGTCAGCTTCTCTCCAGAGCTCACAGTGATCATGCCATTGGCACCAGCTGGTTGGGAGACCAGCCGGCCAGACTGACTGGAGTTAGGGGAGCTCTCCACTCACCAGGCCACACCTCCAGTGAACCTGACATACTCCACTGTCCCCGTTCCAGACCACACACTGTGGTCCTGGAACCTGGACCCAACAGAATGGAACCTGGATCTCTACCTACCTGGGAGGCAGAAATAAATGACTCTGACCCCCTGCCATTACTGACTGATGAGTCACGTGACTCCGCCCATTGGCCACACCCATCTCCAGACCTCAATGAGAGTCTGGAGGCTCTCTCGTTCTTTGACCACACCCACCAGGGCCAGCTCGGGTCAACCACTGGTATGTTAATTGCCTAGTCAGAGAACATTGAAAATTACCATGATGTGATGTGCTAAGTGACCAGTATCATACAAATAGTGGTTATTTGTCCTCAGAGGATGGTTTGCTGAAGACATTTCTGACAGAGCACAAAGAGAGGAAGACTGAGGGAATCGCTCATTGACCCAAAACCCACTGAGACGGAACCTCTCTCTCCCTCCCCACACCCCGAGGGTTCCCCGAGAGAGGAGGAGGAGGGAGGGTACTCCACTCCAGAGCTGCCCACAGGCCAGGAGCTGGTGCTAAACCTCCTCACCACATGGGGAGACCAGTTCTACATCGGCCTCACCGGACTGGAGATCTTCACCGCCTCTGGCGAGAGAGCCTGCATTGATCAGGTTCATAGCAAGTCTGCTCGACCTTAGTCAACAACACATCGCATGCTACATATTCCGTGTTTGAATCATTTCTAGAACAGAAGTTGCACAACTCAGACATTAATGCCTCGGTGCACTATACTCTCTCATCTTTCTCTCTTTCTTGTAACAACTGAAATATATTTGCTCATCAATAATGTATGCATTTTTGCTAGTAGATATCTGCAGATCCTGCTGATATCAATGTTCTTCCGGGATATTCCAGAGACCCGAGAGTGGTGAGCAATCTCCTGGACGGAGTGCATCACACGAACGACGACCTGCACATGTGGCTGGCTCCCTTCACACCCTCACAACCTCACACCATCACCATCTCCCTCTCTTCCCCAACCTCCCTCGCTGTCGTCAGAGTCTGGGTAGGCCACACCCCTCATCTGGAATGGGGTCAAAGTTCACCTAGCCCCTCCCTCTTTGTCTCAGAACTACAACAAGTCTCGGATCCATTCCTATCGTGGGGTACGGGACATGGAGATGTGGCTGGACCAGCAGCTCATCTTCAGAGGAGAGATCAGAAGGCAAGCCCTTGTCATTCACTCCCTCCACGTACAGTACTGGGTTATTGTGGATGCACAGATATACAAGAATATTCCACCTGAACTCTGTTTAAAGATGTCAATTTACTGTGAAATTTTGCCAGACCATAAAATGAATTTTTATGGGTAGCTAGCTACTCACGTGGAAATTTATTCCAACTATGTCTGGTATTATGATTATTCTGATTGAGAAGGCACGATACTAATTACCTCGTCGTCTCCTCAGAGCCAGTGGAGGAATTCTGGACAGATCCTCAAACTGTGGAGAGGTCAGTCTGCCACATTATGTGGTTCATAATACCTCACAGTGTAGTACAGTAACCTTTTCCCCTGTCTGTCTGTCTGTCTGTCTGTCTGTCTGTCTGTCTGTCTGTCTGTCTGTCTGTTTGTCTTTCTGCAGACTATTCTGTTCACTACTGACGAAGACGTTCTGTTCAGAGTTGGTCTCCATGACAACCAATTCCAGGAGGAGATTGCTCGTTGCCATGGACACAGTCGTCAGAGCCATAAACATGACTGGGGGGAGGGGGGACAATAGGGAAACAAATGTTCATGTCACCTGCAGATTTCAGTGAATTTTGTATTTTCAGCATTTCATCCATCAATGAGTACCCTTGAAGCAGTACACAGCAACCACCCCATCTCTCTGTTCCACAGCTGCACTGTTTGTCTATTGACCACAAGCGGTTTCACTGGCATCATTCTTGGGTCTTTTCCTCCTTTAGTCTCTGTTCCTTAGTGCTATTGAGGAAGGAAGCACCTAGCTAAGGAGCTGTCACAGACATGCCTGCCTGAAGCTTAAAAGTGTGTATGGGAGGTTGAAGGTGAAGGTCCTCATCCTTACATCTGGCAGAAGCATACACTGAGCCCTTGGAGAGCCATAGGTCATAGGTAATGAGGCACCAAACCACAACATTCTTGAGGCAGTCCAGAATATCATATTGTTCCAGACTTGGCATGAAGTCCATGGTCGTAGTTTTGATCCTCTCTCTGGCTTTCTGGCTACCTGCAGAAGGTAAGGGACTAAACATTAATACTGGTGTGACAGTAAAACCAGGCAATCAATGTTCTATGACTGTGCTGTGTCTAGGTAGTTCCCTGACCAGTGGGTTCCCCACTCTGGAGGAACTGATAAGAAATGGCTCTCTACTTGAGAGATATTCAACTCATGATGGGGAGATGAGGTCTGTACCTGGTGTTAGTGTCAGGTCCAACTGCTCTGGACCCCCTGGTCCTCGGATCAGTAAAATCACATTCATAGCTCTGCCTCGTCTTCACCCAGTGGTACTGAGAGTCCTACACTAAGAGTTATGATACACCCAGGTGGGCCACAAAATGATATTGTAATTGATCAAGAAACAGCAAGATTTGGTGAATTTGGATATGAACTGACTGTGTCAGAAAATCCACCATCATGTTCAATAATGGAGACATGTTATGGATCAGACATGGAGGTAGTGGTCTGAGACTACTACACCAGGTGGGAGACGAGGCCAGGAATATTTGCTGGAGTTTGAACCTGATTCTGAGATCTGTGAGCTTGACTATGACTACCCTTTATTGGCCATTGAAACAGGTATATACTATATATTGCATAGAGAGTCATTATTGTCATAGACTAATGCTAGTTCCACTGCTGTTACAGATCCTCCAGGGTGTATTGAGGGACTGGTGTCAGCATCTGAACTGAGGAGACTGTGGGAGAACAGAACTCTACCTGTACTCTACAGCAGTCCCGTGAGAGAGATCTCACTGAGCTGTCCATCACCCTCGAATATCTCAGGGATATTAGTGGGAGCTTACCCTTCAATGAATGGAGATGGACTACCTCAAATATTTGTGGTGGACGGCGGTCGTACTTGCAATGTCTCTACAGAACCTGTCACTGAAGGAGTCAATGTGTATGAGTGTGTGCTAGACCCTCCAGTTGCAGTAGATGGAGAAGTCTCACTGACTATCAGTCAGAGACATGCAGGTAGTCAGATTGGCTTCCTTCACGATGGCCAGACTGACACTCCACTCATCTCCCTGGGATGTCAGTAAGTAGCAGCTGCTGTGTGGAGAGAGTCCAGTGAGAGTGTTGCTGTTTTGTAGGTGGAGAGTGCAGCTCTAGTCAGCTACTGAGTGAGTCAGAGCTACTGGAAATGACTGCTCTCTACATCCCCTACATCATTGAGAGAGAAGATGATGAATTTGAATATGAAGACCTGACCATCACACAAAATGGCATCCTCGTGAGCTGGACATTTGTCGCAAGGAATATCGGAGAAGGAGAGGAATACCCTAAACGCTTTTAAAAATTATCCAGATTTTACACAAAACATCATCAATAACATCAACTGTACTGAGACTCCCTATCCCAATGTGTATGAGTGCAGTGTGACTCCTGAACCAGTTGAAGCTGGAGACTTCATTAGTATTGTCTTGCCAGCTTACAGCAGTGCTCGACTGCTACTCAGTTTCCTCTTCAGCGATAGAGGTCCAATTGGCGAGAGTCTGGATGGAAATGGTGATATCAAAGATATTCCGCTCATCACATTGGGAGTGGGTAAGTCTCTTATAGCTATACAATTATTTCAAATTATTTCAAACCACCACACAGTTCCTAACAGTGTCACAACATCAACCCCAATGGTAAGTATAAGTGTCTTTATTATGTTTCCCTGAAATGATCTTCACTCAATCCATACCATCATCCATCATCCCTAATACATCCACTTCAGTTTCAGCTACCATCCCTATTCCTCATCAATCCTTCCTCCAGCAACCTACTCCCACCACCACCCTACACCAATCATCATCTTCTGTCATCATCACTGATTCCCCCACACAGTCAACCACCTCTGAAACTTCCTCCACGATGACACCTCAGACTCACAGTCCAGCAGTGACAATACTGGAGTGATAGTGGGTGCAGTGATGGGTCTTATACTGGCAGTCCTCCTGTTCCTGGCCGTGGTTCTCCTGCTAGTCTTCATACTCTGTCGGAGGAAACGCACCAAGTACGACGAGAAAGAAGAGGAGAAGAGAGAGATGACAGAGGAAGAGAGAGCAGCCATGGACAACCCAGTCTACTCAGGAGGTGAGGGAGTCATTTGGTCCAGTGGGCGATCTCTAGCCTTGTGTGGTCTCCTAATCGTTCAAAGTCCTGGCACTTGCTCCAACCCACTGTCCCAGGGCGTGACACGGAGTCTGGCAGACCTGAAGACAGAGGCAGCAACCACATGTATGATGTCACCACCTCCCAACAACCCTCCTCATCAACCAACAGTGGACAGGTCTACGACGTCCCTGACAATACCCCCAGTAGTAATGACGGGAGGAAGATAAATGATTCATTTGACAACCCGGGCTACTACTCCACCATACACGAGTCCACAGCACCACAGACAACTCGCAGATCGATGCAAATGGTGAGCCAAGTTTGCTTTCTCTGGCTCTGTTTGAGCCTCTGACTCCCTCCACCTCCACAGTTGTCCAGCAACCACTACGAGATGGCAATCTACGTGCCAACAAAGGTACCGTGGTGCAACTCCCTTTTCCTCACAGTGATATGATAATACTCGCCGTGTTTTCGTTCAGGAACAAAGAACCTACGTGGAGAGTGGAGCAGTACCAAATGAAAATATTTACGCCACTCTGGAGGAGGTAAACACATCACGTTCAGTAGAAAGTTTTTTCCCGAAGAATACGTGTTTTGTGGTTCGGGTCAATGACAGTTATCAAACAAGACTCCAAGAGGTTTGATCAGGGCTGATAGACCTACCCAAATTTGG